GTGGGGGTGGGAGGGGGAGGGGGGAGGGGTTGGAAGCGAACTCCGACCGTTTCCGTGGCCGTGGAAAATCGTCCTGCGGAGGAAACGCCGCTTACGTTTTTTTTCTTGGTGCTCGGTGACGGTAGAAGATACGCGAAAGACGGACCGTCGCGACTGACCGGTGGTCAGCACAACCGTAAAGAAATCGCGTCAACGAGTGCTGAATAGTGAATACTGCGTACACCGCGGAGCGCGGCGCGGTATATGCGAGATGCGCGCCGGGCCGCGCATGCGCAATAGCATTCCATCGGATGCGACAGGGGAGGGCTCGTCATCGCGCGTACATTTAATTTTGCGCTTCGAGTTGATAATCTTTACAATTAGTTTTTACGTAAGGGGGTGCTTTCCATCAGAGGCACGAGTTGACACAAGTCGGCACAAATATCATTTTATTTAACAAAGTTTAAACGACAGGGCTCCCGAAATTTGAAATAATAATAAATAAAATTAGTATACGGGCAACCCTGATGAAAATAAAAATCGGAGCGTAAATCGGACGTAACGGGAGAATAATCAAAAGTCATAAGGTAAAAATTGACAACTGTGTGATAAGTCAATTTTTAGCTTCTGACTTTTGATTTATGACTAATGGACTTATTCTAGAAGGCCCATAACAGAGAAGCGTAAACGAAACTTCTAGAAAGCGAAAATTGGAACAATCAAACGAAGCATTTACTTTTGATGTTTCAATTTTCGCCTTCTAGAAATTTTATTCACGCCTCTGTTACTCTCCCATTACATTTGATTATTTACGCTCCGATTTTTGTTTTTATCAGGGAATGATCAATACAGCGGTAATCATTTTACTTTTCTCGACACTCAGAAATTAAGTAACAGAAATAGAACGATATTGTATCACCAAATGGAAAGTTCACCCAAAATTATTCTAGAAGTTTCTAAATACCCGGGAAAAAATGTTACATAAATGGTTACATATTTTATATATGTATAATTATATATTCCAGTAAACGAGAATGGATCGAAATGGATTAAAATGGATTCAGATTTTCAGAAATATTGATTCACGAATATTAAAATAAATGCTTTTCAATCCTGAATGCATTTTTATTCATTTATAGGAATTGCATGGAACATACTCGTATCTCTATGCCTTTCAATCTAAAAATAATATTAGCTTTTTTTGTGCATTGTGAATACTGTTCAATTCAAAATTTTGAATAGGAAATGCAGTTTTTCAATTCAGTTGTATCCAATTGAATCTAATTGAATCCAATTGAATCCAATTAAATCCAAAAAAAAGTATTCACTATTTAAAATACGCATTCGGATAGAAAAAAATTTTAATTCATTTTAATCCATTCTCGTTTGCTGGGCTGTCATTTTTCTAATTTCAATCGTTTCCAAGTTATTTTTGGAATAAGTGTTACTCCAGCATTCAAAAGATATTTTTGACACAAAAGAAATACATGTAAATGGCAAGTACAAATATATTCCAAGCATAGAAACACGTAACATTTTTCTACTCTATTCTGTCAGCCAAAAAAGAGAATCACAATTCGTAAGTGCGTTCTGTTTCGGTCATTCGATCATTCGTATTCCGGAAGTGATGTTTGGCGCCACCTGTCGTCCCCGTAATGACACAGGAGAAACAATTAACCTGTACGCCTTCTTACGCTTCTCACACGGGACGTTCTTTCCACCGGAGGTGCGACTGGCGAGAATTCGCGTCACCGACTGATCGGCGTGAACGCGTTCCTCACGCTAGACTCGCGAATGTGCCGAGAGACAGGCTGGTTGTCCATCGTGCGCGCAGCGAGACGCGTAGTTTTTAGGTTAGAAATACTCGCGTTCAGACTGTCCAATCTTCTGCTGGACGGACGACGCGCCTCACGCGACCCGCGGGATTTTACGTTCCGTCAATCGAGGGGAGGGACGAATCGTGACCTGCGGGAGATATCGGCGGCGTCACGAGACGAGTTTTTTCCTCACTCTTTTTTCGAGTCAGCGAGAAATTTTGCTCGCGCAATCAATTTGTTCCTTCTCGAGCGTTCAGGCGCGCGCTTGACTCGCGCGTCGGCGAGGTCGGCGCTGCAGATTTCCGGCGGAGGCAAGCCCATGTGGACGAGCACAGCGGATACCACGACCACGATCAGTCCGTGATCAAGCGTGTTCTCAACGTGTCCGTAATCGCACGTTCTCACGCGTCGCAGATCCATCTGCCCCTCCGGTTGTCCCACGCCACGCCATCCGGACTCCGTCGCGTCGCCATGGCAGACCTGGACGATTTTTTCGCCAAGAAAGACCGAAAGAAGGCCAAGGGCAAGAAATTCACCACGACCGACGAGGTCGCCAAGAAACTAGAAGAAACGGGCAAACGGGTCGAGAAGCCCAAACCGAAGGAGAAGCCAGCGAATCCCGAAGGCGAGGAGTCTCAGCACACCGAGGTAAGGCGGTGACAGGGATAGCGACGGGAATGGTGATTCATTCACGCGTTTTTTTATCATGGAATTCCGGAACCTCGTGTCTACGCCACGGCGCTGCCATGTTTGTTCCCACGAAGGGGAAACGGTCGCGTGGAAAAGCTGACGGCGATGACGCGCGACGTTCCGGAAAGTTCCCCGGACGATTCTCGGAATGCCTTACGTAATCATCGGACACACCGGATCGCTCACGCGCGTTTTACGGCAGCTGTTTCACGTGCACGTGTTCTTCGGAGCTTCCTCCCCCTTCCCTCCCCCCCCCCCCCGTAATAGGAAAAATGGGTTGGATGTTGGATTCCTCGTAAATACTTGTGTGTGTGACAAGGGAGCAAATATGCAATGTGACAATTAACTGAATACTTTCTCGTAATTTTTCGAAATTATCTTTTTGAAAATTTTGTAATAAATTGCTGCGTTAAATGTGAAAGCATTACGAGCTGCAAAATATTTTATTATCATGAGTCACGGATATAATATGCATGAGAAGTACATGATTTGCAAAAAACTTGGTGAATCGCTGTAGTGATAGTTTGATATGATAGAGGTAAATTAGGAAGCAAGAATATGTCACGAGTGTATTTTATTTTTAGGATGAAGACGAATGGAAAGAGTTCGAGGAGGAGAAAAAGGATTATAGTGGTCTAAAAATCGGACATTTAACAGTAAATGATAGCGTCGACGCAGAATCAGATGACGAGAGGGGTCCCTTTGAAATCTGTTCTGATGGCGAGTCCGGCGAGGGTGGCACAAAGTACACGGGACCATGGAAGAAACCGGATTTACCACCAGAAACACCAGAGGTGGTGCCGACACCGCCCGCACCCCCTGTTGCTGCTGCCGCTGCCGCCGCCGCCACCGCTGCCTCCACTGGAAGTAGTTACAAAGCACCACACTTACGAAATCAACCTACATTCGCTAGTCCGCGACCACGAGGGAGAAATGTCGCACCTGATATAAATAGCGAGGAATACTTCCCTACGCTAAACTCCAAACCCCAGCAGCAAAATAATGGCAGCAGCGGTCCATGGGGGGGTAGACGGTAAGATAACAGCAAAGTCTCCGTAACACCGTTCCATTAGCTTCGGAGCAAAATGTTTATTTTCATGCGAATGAAAAGGAAAAGTAACGTTGAGTTGACAGCATTAATTGTTATCGAGCTTAAATATACGACGAGTGTTTTTAATTACAGACGGCGAGAGGAAGGAGCGTTTGAGGAAGTTCGCAACCGAGGTGGCAGTAGAGCGTACAACGTACCAGAATCGCAAGCTCAAACACCCAAGCTCTCGCTTGGCAACAAGTACGGCGCCTTGTCGCAAGATCAGAGCTGAAAACGTCTGTCTCGATGGAATCAAACAACATGCAATCAATATCACATCGTCGCCCCTCCCTGCTTCGTGGCCCAACCTCATCGAGAAAATCTATTTTCTAGACTAGGACGCAGTGTATATTATAGAACGTGTATGCACGTACACACGTCCCAACTTCGTGAAATTCCGAGAATGCTAATTCCGGTTCTCTCGTTGACGATTCTGAAATGATCGCGGGACGGATCGCCGATCCTAGGTATTTGCACACACGTGCGCTCATGGACCTTGTAACTAACTCGAAATGAATATCGCATGTGCGCAAGCTTATTTTCATACCGTGTAGACAACGTGGTTGGAAATCGATTTTTATATTTGATTTTGTAATCAGCATAGTGTGTAGTATGCTGCTTCCAAGAAAACGCCAGGACGATAGAAGAATGGATTCCGACGTTCGAATCCTCAAAAAAAAAAAGAAAAAAGAAAAAAAAAACAACGGTGGACCGGAACAACGTTGTTACCGCGAGTATATGTTATCGTTACGCGCGGATTGTAGTCTAAAGAAAAAGTATCATTCGTTAAGATATTTTATGTATATTCGCACTTTCTGTTTTTTTATACGGTGCTACTTTTAATTTAGCGTGCATAATTACTGCCACGATCGATGCCTTCTCATTGAGTATTATCGATGTAAATAGGACTGATCACGTCCGAACACGATAAGCTTCGAGATCGGCACGATAACGTCGAGATCGAAATTCACGATTAATCTGAGCGATTCTGTATGACAGCTATCTTTGAATAACAGTCTCGAAGATGCTTCTTGGATCCTTTCTCTTTCTCTCTCTCTCTCTCTCTCTCTCTCTCTCTCTCTCTCTCTCTTTCTCCTCACTTTCGAAGGAGAGTGTCGCTTCGCTCAAAATGGCAACGTGGGTCAACGAACGAAAATTTCTAGATAAATTAAGCTATAAATATATATATTGTATGTATATTATTAATCAAATTTCGTGGGGCTGGGCTTTCGAACGGTGCGGAATCAATAAGGGTAACGAAGAAATAACACGAACGCAACTTTGAGTGAGAGTAACGAGGGGCAAAATAGTTAATTAAAAACCTAAAACACAAGCTACCGTGTCGCAGTGGTGTTGTGTACAAAATAATAGGAGGGAGAAAGACATACGCATATACTCGTGTTAAAAATAAAATGGAAATCCTGTGTACGCCTTTGTTGACATTTGTATAATTCTCTTTTTGTTGATAATAAGAGTTTTTCTTTCTCACGATAAAGAGAATATGCGGCAAATAAATATCGATTCCGTTTCTTGAGAGACGGTTTCTCGTTGTTGGCGGATCCTCCTCGGCGGGGTGACGCGTATTATTTACGCAATGAGGGGAATGCCATACGGAAACGGTAGATAATAATAAGAATTCTTGTATAGCGTGTGATAAAATGTGATTATTTATAAATAAATTTCTTAGGATAACTCGTACGTACTGCCTCCGAGCATTTTTTTTTTTTAATTTGCCGTATCGTATCGACCAATTCCCGAACGCAGCACACGATTACTTAATTGTGTACGCGAACGATCTGGCCGATCGTCTTTTTATGAACACGATCCATAGATCGGAAATACGTCGGCAATGGAGTTAACATCGCATTGATTGTAGCGCCAGGAGAAGTTTAATTTAAGCACGTGGCGAAAACGCGCAATACCGGTGCCTCTTGGAGACAGTTTCGAATTGATTTTGATCATCGCGGCAACGCGGACTAGCCTGCCCTTTGTTACAGAATAGTTGAGATACAATAATTTTATCGCTACTGTTACATGAGAGCGAGCGATAGAATGACAGGAAGTGAGAGTGCGCGAAAGTGTGGGATGCGAGCGTACGTGACGTATTTAATAAAATTCAATCACACCGAAATACTTTCATGTTTCTTCCGTTCCTTCATTTTCAAAATCCTATTTTATATGTCACTGTCGTTTAATTCTTTCTTCTCAAAAATTTAAAAGAATGGATTATTACGGGTTGTTAAGGGAATATCAGACCCACAAAATATATCTTTATCTTCGTTTCTTTTTTCTCAAAAGGAAGGGAATATTAAAAGGAACTTGTAAAGATTCATACATCGTTTCAGACACTTCGCGCGACATCTTCGCTTTGTTCAGTATACACGCCACATTTAAAAGTATGAAAACACCGACAAATTTTTTGAATTTCGCATTTTTCACCTTATTTTTAAAAACATAAAGATTGTAAAATTAAATCAATTTTTTTATCAGTCAAAATATTATAGAACTAATTAACAATTGTATCACAATATGAAGCTAATTATACATACATATGTATAATTAATTTTATTATATATATAAAAATTATTTTTATCTAATTATACGGAAGAGATGGAGTTGCTTCCTCTTAAAGACATAGCTTTAAAACTTTATGCCACTGTGTGTAGGATTATACAAAACAGCCTTATAAGTTACTCATTGTTGTCTACCGTTACTTTCCCCGAATTTACAAGGATTAACGGTATCTATTATGAGAGTGCGCTTGTCATGTCTGCGCATCCAATTGAACATTCAAAGAACGTCATCGAGGCTCGCCGCCTCCTCGTAGCTGCAAAAAGAGACAAAAGTTGCCGGCAATGATTTATAGCACCTCTTTTCTGTGATCGTAGGACGGATCGCGAACGTACTTCTCGCAATACTTCAGCCCATGACTTCCGTTGTTAGAGTAAGATTCGTACATGGCACCGTCTAGTAAAGAGGACTTGAATTTGGGCAGAAAGTATATCCAGGCTTTCGTCGACTCGTTGACCTGAAAGGAGTGCGTTCATCAGAAAAAAAGTATAGATGCCTGCTGCATGTACAATATTTTGGCAAAAATAAAAATCGGAGCTGAATATAAAAAGAAGAATGACAGAAGCCTAAATAAAGCTAAGAAGTGAAAATTGGGACAACAAAATGTAAAAGATGCTTCTTTTATGTTTCTTATTGTCTCAAATTTCGCTTCTTAGAAGTTTCGTTTAGTCTTGAGTCACTATCTCCCCTTACATTCGATTTACGCTCTGATTCTTATTTTCGTCAGGATACGTGCGTAAGTCGATAAGTTCATTACCTCCTCAAAAGTTTTTCCAAGCTTAAGCGCAGCCTTCGACGCCAGTAAAACTGTTTCTTCCGTTCGCTCGTACAATTTCGGGTGCTCCTCCAACTCGTCCAATCTCTTCAACATGTTGGAATCTACATCGTATATCTCTCCGAACACGTACTGTTTAAAAGAAATGTTCTATTACGATTGATATTACGTAGCATTACTCCAGTCAGAAATGATAATGGAATCGACGTCGATTCGATATCAATTTCGTTATCATTTCTGACTGAGACGAATAAGAATGTTTTAAATTGAAATTAAAAATCGCAACTAGTAAGGATATAATTAAAGTGGACGGTAATGAAAGATAATTAAACCAATTCAATTCAAGGACTTCCCCTAGTAGTACAATTCATTGACAATAGACTGTAAACATTAGCGTACATTGAGAGTATATTGGATTAATATTACGCCAATGAATTGTATTACTAAGTTCTTTCTCAACTCACATTGCCAGTATTGGGTTTTTTCAGCAGGAACGGAATGTTGTACTTCGTGGCGATCACCAAAGGATACTGGATCGTTGTTTTGCCGAGGCCTAGGAACTTGGCGTAGCCATGAGCGGTGTCCTTCATGAGGCCGTGATTCGGCTCGCCTCGTTTCAACGTGCCGTACACGAATACGCGGTGCAGCGGACTCTTGAACAAGTTTTCGTACATTTTCGAAAGTCGCGGATTACACGTGACTTCCGGCTAACACCATTGCACCCGGATGCGCAACGTGGATTGTTAATTTATTCGCGTCGATTTCGCGCGGCGATTACGTCACGCGATCCAATCTAGAGATAAGTTTTATCGATAAGAATTACACCAAGGCCGAATTATTGCTTCATACGTTTTATAGTAATGTCAAGGAATGTCAAGGCGAAAGAAAATTACGAAAGATTATTTTTCAAAAAGTATTTTTCGAATCTCTTGGAGAACGTTTCGTGGATCGTAAGAAAACGGAGAACTTAATATTAACACACGCCGTACAATCGATATAACTAGTCGGAACACTCTGCACTAGTTTGCGTCGGCATCTTTAATCTCCGCGTGGAGGTCACGTGATCATACATCATCTTAATGTTAGGACGGAATAGAAGAATATTTATTTTTCAAAGATAACTGTAAAACGTATGTTCGCATTCTATTTCATTGAATTTAATCAGAAATAAAAGCCAGTGACTCAAATCAGCGACCACGCATTTTTATGCATTTTTTCGTGGGATATTTCGTATAATTGGTTATATAACTGTGATACAATTATGCAGTGTAAAGCGGCGTTTACAACGAGATTTTTTAAACACGAGAAATTGACCAATCATAGCCAAATGTGAAGAAAATAAAGCGATTATGATAAGTCAATTTTTTTTACGGCTTAAGGTTTAAAACTTCAGTTTTGCGCCTTAAAGTTTCATTGTAAATGCGGCTTAAGCGACAGATAGAATATCGACACTAGATGTCAGTGTTATCGATTGGCGCGATTATTTAAATTTAGAATTATCTCCACCATACAAAACATTATTCGATTCCTAATGTAAAATCAAGTTGAAAGTATTAATAGAGCTTTATTTTGATTTTATCAAATCATTCTTTTATTGCATGCACATTCGATAAAAAAAAAAAACACTTTTTTTCATTCCGCTGTGCTGCCGCACGCGACATACAAACTACTTAACTCCACGATTTTATATTTCACTTTTATTTTACTTTTATTATCATCCTTACACACGTAAAGTAGCGATCACAGAATGGATTGCAATTTTAACAACTTGACAGAAAAATGATTGATTTTTAAAACTATATGTAAACTACAATATAAATGCGCGATATGGATTTTACAATATATCGTACTTCGTTATTGTAACGTCGATGCGACTCGTTACCTCGTCTGATAAGAAATCTATGTCCGAATTCTTCTTCGGCGGAAGGGAGTAAAAGGAATCCAGCTCTATAATGGCGATATTAACGAGTACAGCAACGGTAGCGATGTGCAGCAACATTTTCGCGAAGTGCAACGACCGAAAGTGACGCAGCCTCGTTGTGGTACAAAGCTCATGCTCGGATACCCTCGATACAGAGGGTATCACGTACTGAGCATTGTGAGATAAGATAAGATTTTCATCCAATAAAATCTCCGAATAATTGCATCACTGATCATACCACCCCGTATGTGTGATGAGCTCAGTTGGAGAATCAGTTGAGTCAGATTTAAATGTGTGGAGCCGCTGTAGAAAAAAAAAAGAATTCCTAAAATGATAATTTTGCTGGGAGAAGTTATGCGAGGTCAGCACCGGCACATTTCTGAATGAAATTGCAGACAACATTCTTTATACAGTATTCAAAATGCAACCCTTTCTTTCAATCTTCTTTGTCTTGATCTCCTCTAAATAAGCTGTAATAAACAAACGAATATCTTACTTACAACAATGTGACGTTAACTCACGTAACTTGCACATCTTCGCTTAAAAAAATTAAAGTAAAATAATCTTTGTATAGAATTAAATGACTAATTAAAAAAAAAAACAAATTAGCACGGATTTTTGAAGTCTCGATTAAAAATATTTCAAATAGAAAAATATTAGATATAAAGAAGACCGAAGAGAATAATCGATTAAGGGAAATTATAGCCGTACACTGATTTTGCTCCGTAAGATTTCGCATTCAACCGATACGATGGAATCGTTGAGGTCCACATCTCGTATCGTTTGATTCTTCTGTCGTCTGCGGCACAAAAGTTCTTGAAACGTTATCCAGTCTTCATCCTTCTCGATGTCATTACCCTATATAGTCACAAGGACAAGAAAGTTGCAAAGTAAAAATATCTTGAATATATTGACACTGCATATGAGGAGCAGATTTTCAAAATGCGTTTTGTCCAAAATTTTCAGGAAACGAGAAAAAGAACGAAACTCCGCACACAAAAACATTACGTACTTTACAGAAAATAACAATATGCCAATCAGTAGGATGTGAAATATCAAACAAAATTGCTAAACAATTGCTCAAAAATATTAAGTAAATGCATTTTGTTTGTCTCTAATTAAAAAAAACATAATGTATGTTTTTTCAGCATACAAATTAACGATAAAAAAATGCTTTCTGAACATCTCAGAGTAGCTTAAACTTATAATATGAGTCTTTCAACACTGAGCAATGCGACATTTCTAAAAAACAAAATTTTGGACAAAATGCATTTTGAAAGTCTGCTTCTCATATGATTTAAAAAAAGATTACCTCCAAAAAAACATGTAGCAACCCTCTGCTGTAATTACCTAATAGCATAAAATTCTGATAGTGCAGACATGACACGAGTTTCTTCAACGTCTTATTCGTCAGGCGATTAACTAGATAGACAGATACGTGATTTGTAGTAATAAGTTGTTCGTGTCCAAGAAATCAGCCGATATGAACATGTATAATATAAAAGCAACTTACAACTTAGGCTCAAGTGTTGCAAATTCAAATTTCCACTAGTCATCACACAGTAGTTTATTGCTATTGTTTCTTTTATAAATGGATGATCGATATCGTTGTCCGAAAGCTTTTTCGAGATCTACAAATATATTTTATTATATTTTGCATTCTCTTAATGATATATTACGAAACATTAATGGTATATTAAAAAACAATAATAAAAATTCTATTAAAAATACTTGAATAGAGCTGTTCGATATCGACAGAGAATTAGATGGGGCCCTCATCTTTGATGAACTATCTTGGCTTGCTGCATTTTGAAAACTATCATGAAACGAATTTGACAACAAATTGCAGGAAAGCGCTAAACATACTTATACTTTCAGAATTTTTAAGCAGATTTCGGGATTGCCATGCTCCATTTTCTCTCCGTTGCTCGCTTCCTTCAGTATCTCGACTGTCCAACTGCAATAATAATAATCATTAATTTATTAACAAACAAAGTAACGGAGGTGATTTATCAACCTTGCTCTCCAGCTTGATAAATCTGCGACGTCTAAGGTCGACGATTTCTTCGTGAGTCAAAGTGGACCTATCGCGTCATGTTATTAAAAATAGCGGCCTAAATTAAGAAATTTGTCTACTTTAATCGCTACTGTCAAAGATATACGTGACAAGTTCCTGAATTATCAGTGAAACGCCGTCATCTTGTATCTCGTTTCCGGTTAACACCACGCTCTGCAAAGATCTACGAGCATATCAGCGAACGTTACATTTTGTTAAAACTACTTGCAAAGACAGAAATTAATATATCCATCAAATTAGAAATCTGAGAAACATTTGAAAAACTACACAACCGATTAGTTCGAAGCATCTCAGCGATATACTCGGCACCAATGTCTGTAATGTCGTTATCCGCCACATTGAGAGCGATCAATTTTGGGACGTTTGGTGGGTCCCGATACTTCAACTCGTTTGCGATCTTTTGCATACCGTTATCGGATAATTTACACATCCTCAGTGACAAATAGCGTAAACTGGAACATGTATTTTTTTCATATAATTTATAAATGAAGCGAGAATTCTATTGGATCGGATTATATTGAAATTCGCGATGCACTTTCTTGCCGGTGCGCAAAGCAGGTAATAATTTTCCTGCGGATTCGGATTGCCATCTAGATTCAAATCATTCAAACATTCCAATTCCGTCAGCATGTGTGTTATCTGCAGGATACCATAGGCATTTATCTGACAACTGGGTAATCTAGAACACAATTATCACAGTTGTCACGATGTTCAAATTACGTGGTCGATTTTCAAATTTTGTCTTACTTAAGCACCGTGATAGTGTTATATTTCTGCAGCGTAGTGTTCAGTGCAACGAGGATGCAAATCGACACTTCCTGTCGTGCAACATGAAAAACCAGCACATAAAGGCGAATGTCACAAACGTCATAATTAATTGTAAATTTGATAATTAGTAAGCATTAGTGTATCTTCACGACTTATCTTTACACTCTAGTTTCCGCACAGTCTCCATCTTTTTAGAATTTTCGAAAGAAACGTAAAAAATAGGGATGTCCTCGTCCATTTTGACTCTGATTAAAATAAACATGAATCTCGAAATCCGAACATTGAGGAATAGTCGGAATACTCATAGCAAATTTGATTAGATGCTTTAATGCGTTGATGCATATTAAAGCCATAGCACGTAATTTAAAGTCACACGATAATATATATTTTTTTCTCCTATTTCTATCATATAATTATTAAAAGTTTAGTAATTATAAAATCATATGATACACGAAATTATTTCTAATATCATGTGATTTTTTAAAATTACATTTCATTAAAAAAAAATCATGTAGTAATTTGGAACAATCAGTTATGTGATTTATTTGTTTTAATTACATGATATAAT